CAGGTTAGAAGTGGTAGATGCCAATGAAAACGGCACCAAAACTCAATCTCCAGCTTCAAAATAACTTGACATTTAGACTAAAGGTAAATCGTTGACACTTCGTGTGAAAGATGTCAATTAGTCTAGGACACTATTGGTTCTAATTAAAAGCTCAAAAGTTTATATTTTCTATTTTAAATCTTGAAATAAAGTCGGTACTTTTAAATGAGTTTTTAAATATGACATAACAAAGTTCGTCGGCTGCTACTGTTTTTATGTCTTCGTCAGGTAAGTAAAAAAACGGTGGATTTTGTGGCTAAAGAGCTCAATTTCTTGGATAATATTTTTTTTAAATTTTTATAAAGGAGAGTTGTATAAAGAGTTTCAGAAACCATCTTGTGACTTTGAAAATTTTTACATTGTAAACCAAACGCTAAACCTTTAACACACTTTAATACGATATAGATACATATATTATAAATTAATTTGTAGCTTTTTAGAATTTTTCTTTCGCCCAACAAGTTTTTGTAATTATTGTTAACTAACTTTTTCTAAGATACGGTAAACGCTAGGAAACAAATTAAAAGCGTATTTTAAAGGCCATTGTTCAACCGTCATGAATTGTTACATACCAACCTTTAGGGCCCATTGGTGACATCGGGGGGGGGGGGGGGGTGGAAGTCTAAATTTAGTTCATTACAATTACGTCAATGACCTTGAGCTCTGCTAGTAAGATGCTGTGGTATGGTAGCGTGTCGGGGAGAAGGGTTATTGTTCATGCTCATTCGCTCTTACCCACAAACAAATTTATTTCAAGCCTAAAATTAAGAATGTAGATCTAACTTCTATATTCGTTTGGAAAACGTCAGTAAGAGGCAAGTCTAGACTGTTCCTATGTCTGCGCGGTCCATCACTAGTTACTTTCTTTACTTATTTTTTTTTAAAGCCTATGTGTCGATTATGTATCTTGAGCAATGTAAAATCAAGATGACGTTGTTCAAACTAAGATATAAGTTTGGACTTCCTTGTGTGACCAAAATGGTCGCCTACAGAGCAACAGAAGAATCTACAATTTCTTATAAAATCAGTTTTATTGACATTTGCAGACAGTTTTATATAATTTTAAGGAAACCCAGAATCTATTGGCAATCATAAGTTAATATGATTTGAACTTTTTGCCTTATACAAATGAAATACCATGTGCATATTGGTCCTCTGGTCCTGTTAATACAATTTTTTGAAGGGTTTCTTTTATAATTTAAAACTATATCATTGCACAAGCATTTTCAAGGACTCTCTGCAGTTTTGCGTACTCTTGCAACTACTAATTCAAGAATCAGTTTGATGACCGATTAAAAATAATGTGTTTATACGTTATAAAGATTCAACTGTTAAATATCATAGTTTTTGAGGGTGGGACTGGAAATTTAGACTATATTAAAGATTTGCATTCATAGTAGAACATTAATATACTTTAAGTAAACCAACAGAAAAAGATTGTTTAAAATTTTCAAGTTCATTTTAGAACAAACTGTTTGCTCCGCCTCCCAGTTAACTGAGAATTTCAAGAAGTAGAAACATATTAAATAAATAATAAGTGAAGTTAAATATATCCCACAGTGATTTTAAAAAAACATTACACAAACTTCACGGATGCCAATATACTTCTAACAACCTTACTAGGAATTTCCTAAAACTGATATTGTACGTTGAAATAGGTTTATCTATCTATCTATTCTATTCTATATTCTATTCTATACTATTATAAAGAAGAGGGGGTGTCTGTGTGTGTGTGTTTGTATGAGCTAATCTCAAAAAATACTGATCCGACTATGCTCAAATTGCACAGAAATGAAGCTACAGCTCCTAGGATACATATAGAACTATTACCGCTTCGATATTCACCTAGGGCTTTGCACCGTGGGCTTTCAAAAATCTGAGATGAGAGATTTAAAAGTAAATATTGATTGATGGTATCCATGGTAACAAAGAACAAACCTAGTAAGTTTAAAAATGTAAACAAGCAGAACTAACTGTCAAATTGATTTTGATTTCTCAATTCAACACAGCTGGTTCAAACCTTATTAAATACTGCGCGAATATTAGAACAGAGAGGGTAAGGATTATAAATTTAAAATAATGATGTCACTAGCCTGAATTTATTTAACATTACCTAAAGGAGCTGTCAAACCATATGTTAATGTAATTTCATTATTATAGGATTGTTTCAGTTACAGTACTTCATTTGTTTATGATCTAACTATACTGAGTCTGTTATAATATTTGTGAAATGTTGTAATATTATTTATTTATTTTTATAATAATTCATTTTAAAATAAATCATTCAATGGATATAGGAAATAATCAACATTCTATATTGCCCTATCAACCTAGGCCCTTATCCTGAGTTATGGGGTATATTCTTTTGATTTATTTGTTTGTAAACAGTAATATAATCCCCCTGCCCCAGCAAACCTATAGACTGAGCCAATTCCCGTTTGCCTGATTATAATTTCACTAAAATATGTTAGAAAATTGCCCTATTAACATGTTTGGAACTATTGTGATAGGTTTTCGTTTACAGTGCATACCATTAAACACATTCTTTTATTATAGGTATATGTGTGCCACACTATAGGATACCGTATAAATTAAAAGACCATATTTTCTTAGACCGTTCCCTCTCCCATCACTGCAATGATCATGTTCTACTTATATGCCAACCCCGTACGAAGGTCGGGTATTCTACTAGTTATTAATAAAGTTGAGAATACTAAAGGTTCTACAAAACAAAACATTGAATAATAAAAATACATTTGTATGAAAGTAACAGATGGATTGACAAAATTGTAAAACGATCGTATAATATCTAACAATATCAAATTATTTACAGTATCACGGTTACAACTTTTAAACTACTTTTGTTATGACTCAATGTTAACCTCTTTAGGACCTTTCATTTTATGCTTTTGTTAGTGGGGACTGGTTAAAACACCACAGTAGGTTTTACAAATATGATTGTGAGATGATATTATAATCTGAACTAGATTATGCGTGTTGATAATAATATGTATTTTAATTTAAGTACTTTAATTGATTCGGTTATATGTTTACCTCATATAACATTTGAACATGGATTGAAACATTAGATGTCTTTGGAATACTCTGAGAGACTGAGAGTGAGAAGCAAAACATAACTTTCAGCAATGATGCATCGAAATCTACCTTTACTGACTGATTCAGAAATGTAATTGCAAAATATTTTGTCAACATGACTAAAATGTTAAAAAAAAATAGATGTATCAGCACGAAATAGTTTGTAAGATAAAAAAAAGCAGTCTAGGACAACTTATATAGCGTTCTAACCTCAAACATTGTTATCGTTTCAGTGTACAAATTCAATTGATACAAAATAACTACGTTACCAATTTATGTTTGTAAACAAAAATTAATTTTTTAATGGTTGCGTAACAGCTATTTACATTACAAGTGTAGTAAGAGCGTTTTTACTTCACGCAGGTGAATGTTGTGCAACGAGCGGAAGCGAGTTGCATAATTCACCTAAGTGATGTAAACAGCACGCTCTTGCGTAACGTGTAACGTACAAGATTTTACCTGACCCGACAATAAACATGGGTTTACGTACAATATTTTTCATTATCCATTTCACTCATCTTCTATCAGTAACGTTCTTTTACTAACAAAAGCTAGGTTAGGTAGGAAAATACTTTAAAGCATAATAATAACATTCAAGCGCACAGCTGATTTCTAGCGTTGAACATCGTTGGCTCCATAGAGTTATAGTTTTTAAGTTAAGCACTCAATGTTATTTAAATGGGTTTCTTTACATCACCGAGTGAGTTTTTGATACTTTACATCACTCGAGAAGTAAGGAAGTTGTATACATCACGCTTGGGATAGGGAAGTTTAACATGGCGGGTTAGGTAAATCAATTTAAATTATTATTTACTACACAAATTATTTGTAATGTAAAACATTGTTCACCACTCGGAGCAAAAGTATATTATTTATGGTACTTAAATGGTTTTATAGTACGTGGCAGTATAGTATTATTAGTTTATTAGTTGCTTGTTGCACTGTTCTACACACTGCTCAAGCTCTACAGCTCATTAAGTGGCATCCTGTCCACACACTGTTGATATATACTGAATTGTGGCATGGTGCCACTATTTCGAGTGTAGGCTGGCGCGAGAATTGGCAACGTAGCATTAGGAAAGTTATAGTTCCGGCGGACGGCGCGAGGCGCGCTAGCTACCTGTATGGTTTCGTGTTCCACAATTCGGTGTGTACCTGCGCTACTTAAACTCACATCAACGAGTTCAAAAATACTCAATTGTGGCATGTGATGTTTAAACGAAGTAATAATGCTGGAAAACCTCAAAAATGATCGAATTAGCTGTGGCACCCTGAAAAAGGTGCCACAATTTTTGAAGGTGCCACAGTACGGCCGTGTGCCTGTGAAGGATGCCACTATTCGGTGAATACAAACACACAGACACACAGACACACACACAGACACACACACACACACACACACACACACACACACAGACATCACTTCGAAAACCACTTTTTTGGGTCCAGGGGGACCCAAAACGAATATATCCACTCAAAACTCAAACTCGAAAATTTTGACGAAAACAATACTTTCTCCATATACTATGGTATAGGGGGAGAAAGTAAAAGTGTATATTTTGTATTATAAATAGTTAATACACTATACTGAGAAGTACACATTCTATTACCATGTCAAAAGCTTTCCCTATGGACTAAACGTAAGCTGCTATGGGTAAATATTCTGTTCCCAGGTTAAGTTTGTCACCAGATTTAGAATAAAAAGAACTTGGCTTAAATTAGCGACAGACCGAGTGAACTGTTGTAAAATACCATCTACTCTAATGTATCTACATTTTTAAAATAATTCCTAACTTGAAGGGGAAATTAGTTAAAAATTTTTTATTCAATTTATCATTTTAAAATGTCAATTTTATTTTCCACAGATTGGTTTGACTGGTTTGTTTCTGCTCTCTGGTGATATGGTGTCTTTAATCAACTTCTCAAACTTCCTCCTCTGGATTTTCTATGGGTTGACTATGATCACGGTGTTTGTCTTGAGGAAAACTAAACCTGATGCTAACCGGTCTTATCAGGTGAGTTTTTAATTTTTTACTGATGATTTTATTTGCTTAACTGAAATCATAATGAATCAGTATGAGTGAAGAAAAATAGTAAATAGATAAATTATACAATAATTTATTTACTTATTTTGCCTGAAGGTGTATAGTTTGTAGGTTGAACTAATACTCGATGCGCATTTCGCCACAGTGCGGCATCTTTATAGAGTATCTTCTTACACTACTGTTACTATGTACATATTTACGGTTAGGGTTCACTTACTCTACGAATCATTGACACAATGAGCCTCCAAATATGTAATTCTTAAAACACATGGCTCACTTACTCTACAAATCATAGTCTATACGAGCTTCGTAAATAATATTGAAGGTTCACTTGCACTACAGGCTCGTATACTATACGAGCCGATCAAAAATATCAAATAAATGAAGAGGGTTCACTTACTCTACAGATCATAGTGCCTATGAGCCAAGCGTATGAATTCTTGAATAATTCAGGAATAAGCTCGTATAGTATACGAGCCAAAATACTGAATTTAAATAAATTACAGGAGTAGGCTCGTATACTATACGAGCCTATTTCATGATAACTATTACACAAATAGAAGACGGCTCACTTACTCTACAGTTCATTGGCACAATGATCTGTAGAGTAAGTGAACCCTCTACAAATATTAGAAGGCTCACTTACTCTACGGTTCATTTAGCTACTCGTCGCGCGGTTTGCAGCGCATCGTTGCAGGCGTGTATGGTAAACCAATACCGCAGTTCTGCCGTTCTGCCTTACTTCTGCCGTGTACTAGTCTTGCAGCGTGAAAGAGAGCTTGTTATGTTAATGCATTGTTGAATTTTTAACTTGTGTACTCGTTGCTAGAAATCAAGCAATTATCAAGTACCGGTATTACAGAAGCTATTTTAAGAGTTATTACAGACTTAATTTTCAATTAATTAAAAAGACTCACGTAAAAGCTTATGCAACTAATGGAATTACTTACTGTGTTATGAACATTTCTATATAATAAAAGTTGTAAATATTTTAAAATTGTTTAGAAGATTGCCTTTTTAGTGTTTTCTACAAACGTGTCTCAACTTAAACACATAGCCGCATTAATGTTAATGTGCATGTGCATTTTCGCCAATGATAATGTACCAATGTCGACCGTACCAATGTCTAAACTTTACTTTCAAATGGATTTGTTGTTAAATTTTTTTATATTTATACATCATACATAATTTAAATGTTTTTACGTGACAAAATAACGAAATATAACAAGCTACATTACATACAATATAATTTAGGCTTGAGCTAATGGAAAACTGTAGTTTTCGCATACTTATGTCTTAACTTACAGATTCAATTACATCCTTTGTTTACCAAACAAGATATTTACATTTATTGAAAAAATAACACTTAGACAGATCAATAATTGTAAATTACGATGACAACTGCATTTACATAACAATCATTATACAAAGAAGTATGTTTTTGTGACAAAGAGGTCAAAAATTTCTTTTAGAACTATATAATTTATAAAGACCGGCCTTTTACAGTAATATGGTTTACAGCACTTATTAATTGCGCAGTTGTTAAATGCCCTTATAAACATATGGAAATTAAAAATTTAAATTATTAAATCATTTTCTTTACAAACTCATGAACAATACAAAACGCTCACTGACCCCTCATAGGAATGAAAAGTAAAGATGATCGCAAGATCTCAAGTTCAAGTCACGTTCTCATGGGCAAAGACCTGGCTGAGAACAAGCCAGGCATAGATTGAATTTCGATTTTAATGATTAAAGTGTAAAAAAAAATTGGCCTGATCTGTAGTTTTGCAAAGTGTTTTTAAATTTTTGAAATCTTTATTAGTTTGGACAGGATTATTCATCAAAGTTAGGTTTTCTCCCATAAGATTAACATGGAGGAATCTAAATATTTAATTGGAAACTTTGTGTCCACTAATTCGAGAGAACGGCTGGGCGTAGAAACTTGGTAGAGGTGTCCAAATAAAGGTCTTGGTCTGTAGATGAGTTATCAGAAGAAAAACTAAGTAAATTCCCTTAGGGCTCTGCCCCAGAAGCCTTTAAAGATCCCTCCACAGATTTGTTTACATTTTGGTCATGTGGATAATACTTTTTAATGAAACAGCTGTTAATTTTTAAACTGTATTTTAAACAACACACATTTATTAGGAGTTTTACTGAACTGTCCAAAAGAAGTATTCGCTATGTTATTTTCTGTTTGTAATATCTATTTACTTTACAAGTGTAGTAAGAGCGTTTTTACATCACGCAGGTGAAGGTTGTGCAACGAGCGGAAGCGAGTTGCTTAATTTTCCTAAGTGATGTATAAACACGCTAACGTACAAGATTTTACCTGACTCGACAATATACAGGAGGTTACGAACAATATTAATCATTATCCATTTCACTCATCTTCTAACAGTAACGTTCATTTACAAACAAAAGCTAGGTTAGGAAAATTCTTCAAAACATAACAATAAAATTCAAGAGCACAGCTGATTTCTAGCGTTGAACGTCGTTGGCTCCATAGAGGTATATTTTTTAAGTTAATCACTCAATGTTATTTAAATGGGTTTCATTACATCACTGAGTGAGTTTTTGATACTTTACATCACTCGAGAAGTAAGGAAGTTGTATACATCACGCTTGGGATAGGGAAGTTTAACATGGCGGGTTAGGTAAAATTAATTTTCTTCTGTATAATGTCATGTTTTTCAATATAACGTTTCATTACGAAATCAGTTAAAAATCCTTTTATCACAGTAACTCTTTCAATTATTTCTTATTGAACTATCTTATATCTATTGTACGGGTTGCTGTCTGCCTTTTTCACCACTTTTGTCTATATTTTATCATATTATCTTTGACTATCAATGATATTATTCTAGACAGATCATCATAGGTTCATGAAATTATCGTCATGCATGTTTTCAAACGTTGGAAAAATCTTCGATTGTGTAATACAATACACAATAATACAAGTGCAAAAGGACACGTTGCCCATATGAGCCGTGTCCATATTTTGTTAAATGAATAATAGTTTAGAGCAACTGGATAAAACATTTTACAATATTTATGTAGAAATATGTGTATGATTTAGAAAGTCATTAAGCTGGAAAACTTCAATTTACTGCAGACTTTTCAGAGAGGTTACTTTGATGTATTCATTCAACACAGAAACCTTGCCTAAAATGGTATACCTATCTTGAATTATTTGCAGTGGCCTATTTACGGACCGTGGCCCACTGGGTTGGTAACAAAATTGAAAATAACACGACATTTTGGCTGTAAACAATAGCATAAAGAGTAAGTACTATTTAAGCAGCTACTGTCGTGACGTAAAGGTCATATTCCTTTTAATTTAGATCACATCATCTAATATAAGATACGTTGATTAACAATGCATGTAAACGTCGATATTAACGTAACAGCCAATTTACAGTACTTATTTTTATTTTTGGAAATGTTAATTTGCTATGTTATTTGCATTATTTGTTGCCAATGAAGCTGCGCGACCATTTAAACAAGGAGGTCCCTAAAAGTTCAAGAATAAAAGCCAACTCCACTTCAAGTACATTCCACTACACCTAACATTCCGTATAGAGATTATATTGACAACTTTATGAAAATGATACGGCTGAGACATCTAACTGCCATCCCCCATGTCACGCAATTCCAGCTTCAACAGTAACCAGTAACCCCACAACCAATTTTTCAAAACTATACTGGAGGGTTATTTGTTGAACAGAAGTACGATAAGAACTGACGCGTTGTGACGAAGGAAAACTCCCTTTGAAGTTTCAGGTATTTGACATGTCTCACATATCTAAGTTTTCGACCAATCTAGTGTAAACTAACTTTTTTTACTTCATTAATACTATCAATCCTTATTGCCTTGATATTTAAATCGGATATCTTCTAATCTGCAGTACAGCAATCATTTGCAAATTGCATTTCCATCCCGTAATCATTTTCATCTTGATTTGTATTAATTTATGTTATCACTTTAATTGTTATTTTACTGTATTATTGGCCTAACCTACGTGAAAAAGTGTACTTCATTTACATTATTACATTATTTCACTTTTTTGTATATCATGTAAACAAATCGTTATATTACTTTATCACGTGCATTAGTTAAAATGTATTATTGACTTTCCTATTTTTTAGAGTAACTGAGCTCATTGTTACGAAGTATTGTTGTTGAGAACTGTTTTCCATGATTAATTAATATATATCGGCATTTCCTTACCTAAAAATTTCTTTTTTCTCAGATAGTTAGACTTAGCCGACTCAGATAATTATTCAACTATCGAAATAATTACATTCGAATACTATCAAATTCCCATTCCACTATTTATCAGAGTATTTGCATTATTTCTTGAAAATACTTTCCTTAACGTATGTAATCAGTATATTTAATCAAATATTTTTCATTTTACATTTCAAATTATTTCATTATTCTCTGGAATTCAGTTCATGATTTTATCTCGAATAGGCCTAGCTAAACAATTTTCTGAAATCTAGTCTACGATTTTATATTCAAAATAGCTAAATAGTTTGGAATTTATTCCATAGTGTAGCGATGTAATAGTTGGATAGCAACAATTAATTTCGTCCTTGTTGACTTCCATCTATGTTCGGGACGCAAACATTCTATTCTATACATTCCCCATTGAACTTGACGAATACCGTTGACGGCACGCTGCGCCACTGGCAGAGCGATAGTTCTGTCCGATAATGAACATAGATTACGATGAATCTCCCTTTGTTATTTGTAAAGAAATTGTTAATCCGAATCACAAATTATTTAATGCGAATTTAGGTATATAATATGGAATAGTAATATGCATAGATTACTCATGATCAACTTCCTGTAACCAGCTATTAATTGGCGGTGTCGCTACGAGTCTTTCCTTGACTTTTACGTGGGCAGGCGTGAATTGTAACTTAACTGCCATATATCGCAGCCCTGCTTCGTCTTTGCAAAT